AGAGGGTGAAGAGGAATGGAGAAAGAACTGTCCCTTGAGGTGCCCCTGTGTTACTCACTACCAGTTCAGACACGCAGTTCTGAAGTCTCACAGACTGTGGTCTGCCCGTCAGGGAGTCAGTGATCCACGAGGTCATGGAGGCATCGACTTGCATCTCCTCCAGCTTCCTCCTTAGAAGTAAGGGCTGGATGGTATTTTGATTACCTAACCTACTGTTAGGTAATCAAAACATTTTGAAAGTTTAGGTACTGTCAAAATACTACTAATACTATGAAACCTTAAGGATTGAGGCTGTGGAGAAAATAAGATGGTATGCGTCTAAACGTTATTATTCTAGACACATCATGTCCTCTGTGCTCTAGCGATTGGCTTGGAGCGCACGGGAGTATTGCCTTGGGGTTTTCCAATACTCAGAGGGTTATCTCTGAGTCCTCAGAGATGGACAGACACTGTTTTATACATAGAACCAACCATCACTCCAGCACAGGAAATCTACTGTCTGACAGCGGTCTACCGCGGTTCAGATGTTAATTCTGCATCTTTAATAAATAATAATTAAAACCTTAAGTTTCGCTCCCTGTTCGATCTTTATTGAACGTCTTGAGGCTCATCCTGCTGGTACGCGAACCCCGCCGGCACTGAGACCCAGCGGACAGCGCTTGGCCGTGGGGGTGTGGCAGGGATCGGAAGTGTTCAGAAGGGGAGACAGAGGAGCGGAAGGCGTTACGGGACGGTTGAGGTGAAGTGGTGTTATCCTCTTTAATGTGTGTTTTTTTGGCTATATTTAAAAAAAAAGAATACAGTATTATCAACGCAATATGTTTGCTGCAATATAGAAAAAGAAAAGCGCTCTTTTGAGATCAAGCGGCTAGTTGAATTATAGTAGTCACAATAAAATTAAGCACCGACTTTTACAGATCCCATTTTCACATATATTAGGTGAGGTTTTTGCCGTTAAACAGAATCCGTTACGGTTTTTTCCCTCTCGTCTCACGATGAGAGCGCGTAAAACGGTTAATTTGTAAGATTTGAAAAATACAAGTGGTTGTCTGATTAATGCGAAACTGCAGTAAGAAATAATCAAACCGGTAGTTAAGCATTTTTTAAACCCGTTGTACAAGAGTACGTGTTCTGTCATGACATCTCTCTAGCTGTGTGTTTCTTCTTGTTATAGTTAACCTTTTAGATTTATTTAATCATCCGTGTCCCTCTGTTTTGTATTTGTCATGTGTTATATTTAGCTACCTATCGTCGTCATCATCATCATCATTGTCGTCATCAGTCTACTGCTGTCTAAAGCCCCCAATCCTGCTAGGTCTTTTATCTCTTGGGTTTTAAAACTTCTTGATCCTCCGGCTCTGATCTCCTGTCGGGGAGAGCATCACTGGTCCTGAGGACCTCCAAGCCAGCTAGATCTCATTCCAGCTGAGCTCTTTACTTAGACTAATTGAATTCTTGATTAATGTACATGAACTTACACGTTCCTTGATTGGGACCCTTGCAAGGTGTCTGCTGAACAGATGGAGATCTTAAGTTACTCACGAAAGGCAGTGGTTAAAAGGCAATCCACCACATGTTTAGGAACTGACAGCAGCTGGAATTAGTGATGTTATTCGCTCAATTAAGTGACTGAGTACTGTTTGTAACTGAGAGCTCAGCTGGTATCAAAACGGAGCAGGCATTCAGCTCCACAGGACTAAGAGGGGGAACCCATGCTCTTGGTAGCTGGTGTAGTGTCATTTCCCCTTTCACTCCTACAGTAATGTCACAGCTTCTTGTTTGCTCACTCCTGTTATTCACAGCATGCACCTTTCTGTGTCTGTGGCTTTGGCTGTAATTGCTGAAGCTTCTTTGTGTCTGGATCATCCTTTGCATCACGTGTTAAAAACCTTGTCTCTCTATCTGCTGTTGTGCTGTCGTCCCGTCCAGGCCCTGTCCTGTCCATTCTGCCTGTGCTTCACCCCTTGGCACAATGGAGTGCTCTTTTGCACCTGCTCTTAGCTGACCTGATTTCTTTGGTCACTTCAGTGTCCTGATAGACATTTTAAAATGTCGTCTGCCAGATGTGTCTATTGTTCATGGGAATATGTTCCCCATTTTCCTGTCTGTCTGTGCGGAACATTTCATGCTGTTTGAAATGGCACACGGACTTCATCAGCACACTAAAGTATGTCTTGTATGCTCGTGTGCTAGGTTCTGTTGTTTCTTTCCTCCCTCAGTCTGTAGTTCCTATATCATTGTCTTTTTCAGAGTCTAGGCTGTGCATTCATGGTACTAAAACCAGCATGCATACATACAGGAAGTCATGCACTTGTATTTTTACACGTATGCTGTGTTAAGGAATAACTAATCTGCTCTATTGAACGTAGTACTTGCACATGTTCAGTGCTGATGTCTGCACTGAAAGAAGAAACTGGAGAAAAACATATAGTCTGAAGAAAGGCAGTGACTAAAGCAGGGAGGTTAAGGGGAGAGGCTGCTGTTGTTTTTTCTCAATTCCATTTGTAACCACAAGTGAGCAGTCTCTTAGTTATATTGTGTGTTTGTGTGTAGGTAGATATGCTATGTGAATACGTGTATTGGCTAGCCCAAAGGCTGCACTGTCATCCCTGTACTTGTGCCCCGCAGTGCTCGACCCCCCGGCTGGCCAACATGACTTGCACACTGGAGAAGGTGCTGAGCGATGCCCGCACACTGCTGGACCGGCTGAAGGAGCACGACATAGCCGCAGAGTCCCTGATCGAGCAGTCCAGCGCCCTCAGCCAGCGGGTCCAGAGCATGAGGGAGGTGGGCAATGCCCTGCCCGACAAGGTGAGAGCTGCCGAGAGGTGAGGAAGTAGCTGAGACTTCCCCCAGGGGGTCCAGTCACAAGGCAGTTTGAACCGGGGCAGGATTTAGATAGATAAGATAGATAGATAATACTTTATTACTCCCATAGGGAAATTGATGTGTTACAGTAGTCCAGCCCAAGACAAGCAAAACAGACATCAGAATAGTTATAAAACAAAAGACAAACAAAATAAATAAATACATGGGTGTGTGCAACATGTGCTGATCATAGTCAGTGTAAAAACAATAAAATATGTGCAAAATGTGCATAGGTTTATACAGACTAATTGTCCAAAAGGTACAAAGGAGTAAACATGCTGTCCATAGAGGAGCAAATGAAGGGCTAAGATTTCGTCAGTGCAGCATCAAGCTGAACATTTAAATCAATCATGGGAATGCGCTTTTGAGGGTTTTTTTTCTCATATACTTGGTTCGATTGTTTGTGATGATTTTTCTTGCTCTTTCTCTGTCCACAGTACCAGGAGGACTGCATGGACCTGAAAGAACTGTCCAAGTACAAGCCCCACATCCTGCTGACCCAGGAGAACACCCAAATCAAGGAGCTGCAGCGTGAAAACAGAGGTGTGAGCCGCTGGCCCTCTCTGCTCTCTTGTTTTATGGTGTCTTACAACACTTACAACAGACTCTTTCTTATGGTGTTCTCTTTTGTGAAGTTACAAAAACGATACACGCTTTTTTAAAGGGGAGCTACAGCCCCAATTTCTCGGACTGGTTATCAAATCTCGATAACAAAATAAATTCATTGATGTTCTAGAAAAACAATTACAAATGTTAAATTAAGCCCAAAAGTGTTATCGCAGACTCGCATTCGAGTTCCCACGAATCGCGACGTGATGTGGCCCTTCCTGCTCACCAGTCTCTGTAATGACTAATGTAGTGTAATGTACAAGTGAATAACTAAAGGTTGTGCAGCAGATATTTCACTGAAGAAATGTTCCAACGAGATCTGCATGCACAGTTAACAATTAAGTAGTGTTTATTGGAAAAACGAAAGCAATATTTTGATTGGATTAAAAGAGGTGTATTCAAAAGCCTGCTTGTTTACAATCTAATTAGTCTGCACACATCATGTTTTGTAGCCTTGTTCTGAATCACAGAACATGGTGCTGCACATACCACATAGCATGGTGCTGCACATCCACAAATTTAGTCTATTTTGTAATGCAAATTGGAGGTTTTACAAGTTACTGTATGCATTTTACTTCAATGCTGATTATTTCTAACCCCAAAATATAATCTCCCCTTTAAACTTAAAATATTTATGCATAACTTGAATGTTCAAAACAAAAACTAAGGGTAAGATAAAGTCCAGTAAATGTCTTTAAAAACTAAAGAGAAAAGGCTGAAATATGTTCCTGTTGTGAGTGTGTGATTGTCTGTGTGGCTGCCCTGCAGTGGACTGGTATCCTGTCCAGAGTGTACTGTACATGGCTTTGCACCTGTTGCTTGCCAGGACAGGTTCCAGCTCCCCTGCTACCCTGATATGGATAAAGTGACTAGAAAATGGGTGGATGTCGATTGGATAAGTATTCAGACATGTGAATTCAATACTTTGTGGAAGCATCTTTGGCAGCAATTATATCTGCAAGTCCTCTTGAGTAATTCTCTTCCACATATGCTCACTGACTGGATGCTGGGTTCTTTGGTTTGATTCTTGGCGGATTTTCTCAGTTCTCTTTGGGATTTTTTGTCCCAAAGTTTTAAGTCTTGAGCAGAGTGGACAAGGCCTAGAACTATGACATAATGCTGCCACCTCCATGCTTGACTACTGCCTTTGAATATGGTCACCCCCATGCTTGACTGCAGATATCGCTATAGATAAAAGGATGAGCTGTACAGTGAATAAAGGATAAAAAGGTTTAGGTGTGGTGGCAGCAGAATCAGTCAGAAGGTCCATTAGGATGACCTCATACAGATGGGTGCACAGAATATAGGTAGAGGTGAACTTGGAGAATGGAGAGTTGTTAAGCCAGTAGAGGCTTTCACCATGGAAAGCAAGTTGTGTTGCTGTCTAGGCTATGACATTATTCTACTGTAACTGGATGGTGTCAGCTGATAGGGTTGCAACCGGCCAAGTGCTGTTGAGATGTAATAAACAGACGAGCCCAACTAATTGATTCTAGGATAACATCCAGCCATGTATTGAAATAAAGTAGGGCATTGGCTTCAAAACATGGCTAGGTATGATTCTTCCATACTCCCACAACCCACTGGGTAAAGAAAAGTAAAGTGTATCCACTAGCTTCCTTCTGGTTTGTGTTTCACTGTTCTGGGAACCTGCAGTGAGCCTACAAAGGCATCATCAAGACTCTGTTGTGGAGATTGGCCCAAAGAAGGAGGTTTCAGGAATGTGTGGGGTTTAGCAATAAGTCTGCTACACTGATAAAAATTTCATTTCTGTGTTTGTTTGATACAGCTAGAATGGAAGGATGAATGAAGCACAATTCTCTCTCTACCTACAGAGCTATGGCTGTCTCTGGAGGAGCACCAGTACGCCCTGGAGCTGATCATGGGGAAGTACAGGAAGCAGATGCTCCACCTGATGATGTCCAAGAAGAAGATGGACACCAAGCCTGTGCTCTCCCTGCATCAGGACCATGCCAAAGTATGCCACCCTGTCCATACCCACTGCCAGTCCTACTCCTCTGCTACACCTCCTGTGGTGATACAGGGATCAGGATAGATACTGGGAGAGATGGGCATTGATCACCATGCACAAACACGTCATTCCCTAAACCCCCTTCCACCACATCAGATAACTTAGTTTCTCAATGAGAAAGGTCCCATTCTCAATAGGTTGTTATTAGGAAGCTTAAAGATAAAATTATTTTCATGTTTTGCACACTTAAAGCTCTCTATGACAGTGTTCCAGCCATCGTTTGTATGGGTTTTGAGAAGAGAGGTATTCCTGTTTTTTAGAATTTAATTTAAACCCTTCTTTCAAGTCCCCTATTAAGGACTGAATCACAGCTTTAAAGCACTCACCAGTTAAAAAATCCCAGAAGAGCTGCACGAACAGAATGTTTGCTTTCCTGAAATTTTCCACTGGTGCAATGGAAAGCTCCACGCTTTGCAGTTTGTGAAAGGTGGCTGGATCAGAATCTGGCCACTAGTTCAAATTCAATTGACTTTTTCATTATAGTAAACTAAAGGCAGTATATTTACACCTCAGTCCAAACCAACAGAGCAGTTTATCATTAATAATCTCTTCTCAATAATGCAGAGAGAGACAACTATTGTTAAAGACCCTTTATTAAACCTGGTTTAATTTTGTCTGTTTTTGTTGCACCTGTGAACTAAATTGTACATGTTTGTACAAGCCAGAGGAGCAGGCCCAGCTCCTTGGTCTATTACTGTTTTTGTCTCTCTGTACCAGCTCCACAGGGTGTTTGCCTGGTACCTGTGCCAGTCATGTCTCTCTCTCTCTCTGGCAGGAGGTGCAGGTGCAGGTGGAGCGGATCTGTGAGATGGGTGAGGTGATGCGGAGGGCCGTTCGCGCCGACGAGCAGCACTACTGCACTGTCCGTGAGCGCCTGGCGCAGCTGGAGGTCAGACTCGTCGGGGGACAAGCAGAGCAGTTATTTTGAGGGACGGGGGTGTGGAAGCTGCAGCAGACAGCTGGGTGTTTCGTGCTTTTCACATGGCAGCTTCATGCGCCACCTTGAGGCCTGACCTCCTCAGATCTAGCAAGCGAGGGCCTGGTGTGTGCTGGGATAGGAGACCTCCTTGCAGTGACACTCTGCCTCAGAAATAGCAAACCAGTAAAGAGAGGACTCTGTACTGCTGGAGCTAATAACTTTTGGGATGAGTTGTTTAACGGAGGTCCCATTGACCTGTGGTCATTAAATACAAGTATATGAATGACTAGGGATGCAGACCCTGGTGTCATGGCTAGGTCCTTGACATATGTAGTCTTACTCAATCTAGCCCACCAGCATTTACCCCTCATTTACATTAGTGAGTCACTTCCTAGCTCCTCCACCTGCTGGGCTGCTGGTGCTGAAATCCTGCAGTGTGTCACTGATGTGAAGATGCACCTCAGTGGTGAATGACTGCAACCTCCTCCTATATGTAAAGTACTGAGGTATTCCCCTCTATGAAAAGGGCAGAACAAATTTCTATCATCATTGCTATATATGGAATTGTTCCTGAAATACGAGAGCTTTCCAGCCGTACATCTGTCTAGAAGCAGCTGGGGATGCTGTTTTATGCCTTTGACAGTTTCTCTCTGTCTTGTTCTGCCACCTGTGTTGTTCAGATGGAGAACAAAGAGTTGCGGGAGCTCCTCTCCATCAGCAGAATCTGCCTGAAGCCCCAGAACGAAGAGCCTTCTCAACCCGCCAACCCAGCCAAATAGCGCCGCCGACGGGCCGACGACCTGCGTGACACTGTGAGCTGAAGCCCTCTCTCCTCGAGTTCACAGGTGGACAGCCCAGCAGGGGAGCCGATCTGGACTGACTTTTCTGCCGCCCTGTGATGGCCAAATCCTGTCTTTTGATCCACATGAAAGGAAAACAAATCTGGGGAGCAGCCGTTACTTTTTCTAGCAGCCAGATACACACCATGGGTTACTTTTGACACTGTGTTGGTTTAATATCCATGCATTTCCCCATCTTGCTGTCCACCTAGTTCCTTTTCCATCCCTTCATTGTCCTCATGGAGCAATCTGGCTCTGTAGCCACAGACTGAATTACCTCTGTCACACGTAAAATACCTCTGTCACTCATTCATATTTAATTCTCACCAGGGTCCTAATTTTTACTGATGTCCTGTACAGCCAGGTCAGTGCAACTGGCCCCAGCCTTAATGGAAGTGCTATGGCAGAACTGGAAGGGGAATCGATCGCTAGACCTGCCTCACATATACACACTTCTCCCCACCATATGTGAAACATATGCAGGAGGTCCCTCATTGGGCAAGTGAAAAGTATGTCTGAAAGAACTGGAATGCAAAATATACTCAAGGGCACCCAGAATATCAGATATCATCCCGGGCTGTTTAAATGTAGCTCCATCTCTGTGCACAGCAAGAGCTTTTGGAAGTTTTCAGAAATCTTTCCAGAGATTCCTAAACTAGTAAATCCTGGGACACACTCAAGAACAGCTGGCTGTAATCTGGGAAGCTTTTTTTTTTGTAGCAGCAGGATTCAGTAGGAGGTAGCGCATGAGAGTTGGTTGGGCTCGAACTTCATTTAGGTCTCATTCATTTTTGACTGACCAACGTAGAAGAGCTTCTGTGAAGAGTGGTGCATTTATTGGTTCGAGGGGATAACACTGTCTAATGTTTCCTCTCAGAGAGCTCAATTGTTGTGACCGAGTAATCATGTCCTTCAGCTCTCATCTCCTGCGCTGTGTAAAACCATTTTCAAAAGCATGACTCCAGTCCAGTCCTGACAGCTGGGTAAGGCCAGCTTCAAAGATGTGACTTCAGTCCAGCCATGATAGCTGTGTTGATATTACAGCAGTCAGAATTATTACATTTTCACAGAACAAAGGTGCATATTTTTCAGATGAGAAACGGGATATTGTTACGTTTTTGTAATTTCTCTGAATCTCCACACAGCTCTTTGTGGAGTTCTAACAAAGCTGTCTATGCCTTATTGTTTCTGTTGTTTTGGACTTAATTTCCAGGGCATACAGTAAATAAAAGAGAAGCCTCCTATGTGATATAACTATGAGTCATGCCACAGAAATAACAGAATGTCTGTATTCTGGAAATAGCAATACAGTCTGCTTTAGCCTGAAGCGTATTATTAGTCTGAGATCTTACTGGACACTTATATTAGGAAACATGTCTGTAAGCAGGCACATATTCTTTTCCAGCATTCTGGTATTTCCAAGTAGTCTTTGTGAGCTCTTTGTGGAGCCTGCCTTATGCAGAAGAAGTATTGAAAGATCATATTTGGGGTTTCCCGCTCTCAGGCAACACTGCAATTATGTCTCACACAAACAGCCTTAGCTAGGATTGCTACTTTTTGGCATTTCTTTTTTAGAAATACATTTTATCACAAATACATTTTATCACTTTTAATTGTAGTGTTGTGTAAGCTGAGTTTAACACCTGTAGATTGCATTAGAGGTCTGGACACAGGGCTATGGAACTTAATTTACATCAGACATTTCAATTTTTTTTAGATATATATAGAATGTTTTTAATTCTGAAACTACCACAGCTTTGAATACTGTTTGGAACATCAGGAGGCCGATTTGTCTTTATAGCTGCCTGATAAACTCTTTATAGGTAGGGGATTGTGAAATTGAGCTCTTGTATTGTCTAAACGTGTAACTTTCAGGAGCTTAATGTGCGCTATTAACAGGTGAAGTGTAGAAATGTTGCAAACTCAGTTCTGTTAGATAGTTAACCAGTCCAAACTAGTGATGTAACAGAAACATTTCTAGATGGAAAAAGTAAGGTGTATTATGGTGTTCAGTGTGCATATGGAATAAAAAAATGTATAATGGGGAAATCTTAACATTAACACAATACACAGCAATGTACAAATGCACAATGTACAGGCCTTCATTTTTTATCTCGGCAGCAAAAATACTTTTTTGTTTATTTTTATTTCACATTTGGTTTGTGTTTGGTTGCAGGTGCAGTAGTACCCATTCATTTTTCTGTGGAGATGTATTTTAGTTACAATCTTTTGGTGGACTCCCAGGTTAATTTGTGGTAATCTGACGGTACAAAGGTGTTTCTAAATGACTCTTGCCTGTTATTAACCGAATACAGCTGTGTGATATGGGAGTGTGGTAAGTGAACAGGAAAATATATAATGTTTCCTACTGACAGCACTGCAAGACCAGAGCACCATGTTAGACTTTCTGTTGAACAAACTGATAGCCCAAAACACTGACAGATTTTTTACTGAAAGTGCTGTTAGTCCAGATTGTTGTGTCAGAATTTCTACTCAAAGACCTGTTAACCTAGATCTCTGTGTCAGATGTTCTACTGGAAGCCCTGTTAGCCCTGAGCACTATGTCAGATTTTCTATGGAACAGATTGGTAACCCAGAGCACTTTGGGAAATTTTCTATGAGACAGACTAGTAGCCTGGAGCGCAACAAACATCCGTCTTGCCAGACATGAAGTGCTCTGTGCGAGCACCATTCTGTAAGGTAGTAACTTTGTCATATATCATCACAAAAGAGCACTGTGCTTATAGGAGCACTTCCAGCCTCTCCATAGCAGGCTCGGCCAGGGTGGTTTAACGTGTATCCTGACTGTATAACATTGCAAATTCAGCTCCTTAAGAACTGTCCTTCAAAGCTTAACAGTAAGGTGGATATAATTAATATTACAAAATAACCTTTAAGAGCAACGTTAAAGGAGTGCAGGTTTCCTTAACTAAAATTTAGTGTGGGTTGCACCATGGGATTTTAGATCTTTACCATTGATAATTTATTTTAAAGGAAAATTGGATATTATCTTTCTGACAGGGTTGAACATTATAGAAGTCTTTTGTGTAGTTGTAATGTCTGAATTAACTGTAAATATGGTGTTTTGACTCATCTCGCGTTCCTTGTCAGTGATGACGGTGGATGCAGAATCAATTTCTTGCCCTGTATTAATATAAAATGTTCTGTGTGTCCTCTTGCTATTTTTTAAAATCACTTTTAACTGTTCTTAGTCCTACATTGTTACAGTAGTGATTGTAATTGTTGACTGTAATCAAGTTCCTAATAAAGCTGAGAAACTCAGGAAATATTCATCATTGTTTATGTAAAAAAAAATTCTGCTTCGTGATAATTGCTTATATCCACTCTGAGTCTGATGCAGAGATACTAATGTAGGCGTTTGTATAATGTAGGTTTGATCATTGTAATGGAGTGATTGCTGGAACATTGAGACGTTCTAAGTTATTAAATTCAGAAATCAGCTGCTCAGATCTAAAAGCCTGAGTTTCCGAATATTTTTACTCCTTTCTTTTACCGATTATCGATTGGCAGTATGTTATCTGTGAACAAATTCTCATTTATAATGACATTGATCCATTGATACAGCTTGGCAATTACTGGACCAATCTCAGAAAAAACAGTCTGACAGTACTGATCCACTCAGGATTTGAACCCATAATCGTCCTATCCACTGTCCACAACTCCATGCTTCCTCCTTAATTTTAGAATCCTGCAGCTCACCTTTAAGGCTTTGAATGAATCTCCTGACTACTGTATATCGGTATCTCAATATCAACCTACATACCAGGCTTCTTTCAATTCTCTAAACTAGACTGCAAATCTTCGGAAAATGTGCCTTCTCTTCTGTCTCTCATGGGTATGAGATGAGCGTATATTAGAATGTGCTAACCAGTCAACCCTCTGAAAAACTGTCTTAACGTGCTTTTATACGTTAGATTTTCTTTATGTTTCGAGCCCTATCTTAGATTTCTGTATTATTGTGTTTGCTTTTTTCTAGTGCACGTTGTCTTGAGATGCTGTGTCATTTCAGGTGAAAGGTTGGCACGGTTATAAATCATACTTTGGTAGCTAGATCCTGGCCTGGACTCATGAAGACCTTCTTACACTGTAACTCAAGCTCACACCAAATCATGGCCCCATCAGTCACTTTGCTCTCAATATTTGGTGGAGTTCTAGGATGAGCTCGATGGAGGAGTGAAAAGGATCAGTTCAACTTGCATCCATGTGTTGTGGGAGATGGCACGGGTGGACACCCGAAACGTGGCCACAGACAAGCTTGGCTTGTATAAAAGAATACAGAAAAGATGATAACACGACCGCATTCGCTTTTGAGAAACTTGAGAAGTGTTTCCATAACACTAGTCCTTCTATTCCTTAGTTGCTCTTTGGTAAGACTGTTAAACCTCCCTCCACTTGCTGGGGGGCTATCAGAGTTGTGTATGCTGAAGACTGAGTAACGCCTCATCCAGAGGGCACAGTGCCAAACCTTCTGCATGCAGTTAATGATTGCCACCAGAATTCCCTGGGGCTCATCAACAAACCAGCAGGCTAGAGGGCATCTCTTTAGCCACCTCTCCCTGCCACGTCATGGCAGATCAACGCAGCACAATCTCCTCCCCCTGGATTTGAAACCTTCCCATTCCAGTCAGCCATGAACTGCTCAAGAAAAGTAAACACTTGCTCAACCACATGCCCAGTTCACACAGATCAGATGACAGCATGCTGAATGTGTGAGTGGTTTGGTAAAAATAGAAATACTCTTTATCTTTTTTTTTTATTTTGTCTACTTAATAATCTAAAGAGTTTACTTAAATTAATGTATTTTTAATTGCCTTCATCCAAATGATGAGAGTAAAAACACTTCAGTTTTCCACAGAAGGGATTGATCATGCAGGCGATGGACTGGTGTCACGGCAAGGGTGTATCCTGTCTTGGGCAGACTGGAAGATGGATGAAACAGACTGATCATGTTAATGTAAAGCACTAGTTTAGAATAAGCACTAAAAACAGGAAAAGGAAGCTCAAAAAGGAAGGAAGTACAAAACGTACTGCAGTCTTAACTCGGCTCCTGAAGGTTTCCATTGCAAGTGGATTACTTAGTCTAATTACTCTTTTAATTAGGTATATTTTCAAGATTTGTATCATTATAATATGGTAAATGTTTGGAACCTTGTAGAGAACAATGAATTCATCTTTTTATTCAGGTTAATTCAAATTCAATCAGGTGAATTTAATTTGTTCAATTTACAACTAATTTGTAAATTGAACAAATGAAAGCCGGGAGACACTATAGCACCTACAGAAGCAGAGACTAACATCCTTGACCTAATTCAGGGTTGGCTCATCCTTCTGTACACAGAGTTGTAGGTACAGTACATGGAACAAGCTGCCAAATTATATTGAGTGTTAAATGTAGTATTCAAAGGAAAGGCTTCTTTCAAACTGTTTTAAGAAATGGGTCTAGACTAAATCCAAACTTCTTTTGTGAGCTAATTATCCACCAATCACAAATTACAGGCCCAGTAATGATAACATAAAGAGCAGGGTACCAAGGCTTGTTCCAGGGCTGAGAGATACTGGTGAATAGACAACTTGAAAGGTACTTTGTTTCCAGGTCTCAGTGAAGAAAGAATGACTGAAAGGAAATTTAATGGTTTCACAAAATTTAAACAGGAATAAACATGAGTGGCTTTATTTCAGAATACATTAAAAGAGCAGAAGGTAATAACATACAAAGGAGAAATGTGCTGGTTGTTCCTGGTCATGACCTGTCATCGTTTGTAGTTTTCACTCCACACTGGGCTTCTTAATGATTTAATCCAAATCAACTGTTCACTTCATGGGCCTGCATTGACTAATTGGACTGTCTCCAGGTCTTTACTCATTGAGAAATTGAAGTTAGATTGAAGTCCAGGAGTGAAAATCTGTACTGTAGAAATATAGAATGCAGTCCTGTTATAATTCTTCATAAACAGCATTTATGGCTTTAAAGTGTCTTGTAATGATTTTCTTACTGTGTAAATAAAACCTTAATTGATGAGCTTTCCCTTATGTATGTTCATACCTCCAGATCCCAGAATTTACCAAATGTGTGAGCCATTTAAAGAACCCATTGACAAAGCTGTCTTTCAGTTGTAGTAAAGTGATTCTCACTCTTGGTCCTAGACCAATAACACTGCAGAACTACTGAATTCTTCACCGCTGATAAACCCTAAATGCATCACACTACAAGGCGCATACTGTTACAAAGACACTTGATATAAACTGTTATCGTAACAATAACAGTAACACCTGTCTCTTTAAGAGGAGGACTGCGGGTTTTCCCAGCAGGGGCGGCGAGGGGTCTGAAGCGATGATCTCGCGAGAATGGGCAGTTTTATCCCTACGTAATGTGCCGTGCTGCTCATGGCGGCGCTGGAGATAGTGCTAAGGGCTGTTGGGGTGAGTTCGACTCTATTTCTCTGAGTGGAATTGCTTTTTAACCGACTGGAAGTTTGGTTTTAAAGCGGGAAACGCCCAGGTTGCCGAAATAAAGTGGGTAGTAGGTCTCTGCGGATCGTGGCAGTGTCCTCGGCGCACGGGTCGGTTGGGTGGGGGAGAGCGCTCCCGTTGTTCTTGTCGAAGGTTTTGTCATAAATCATCATGACCGCCTCTTGTTTCTCACAAATGAATTTCCTTTATCTAGGATTCTCTTTTACTTCTTGGAGTAGAGGATTGCTTACTGAAACACGGAGCCTCAGGAAAGCCTGACAGTTCTGAAAACTGGGCAAAAAATGTACTCAGTCGCGTTTGTTTTCTTTGTTGTCAATAACGGCAATCCCTTCGTTTTGTAATAACGGGGAAATGTAAAACATTTTTTGAAATGCCTTCGGCCCCCGAGTACTCTGTAATGTATTTGTTGTTTGTATTTAGGTACGTTTAGTTAAATAACGAAGTACGTAGCACATAAATGCGCATTTAGAATTTGTGTTATCTGCAGCTAACTTTAAAGGGAGGGATAATTGACGTAAAGGGTAGCCAATCGGCTTCGAAGACCACACTCTTGGGTAGTCAGATATCCAATCAGCACGTAGCTGGGGCGGGCAAACGGATAGACTGTGTGCTCGGGTGAGTTTTGGCTGCGTCACTGGCGATTGAAATGGACTGGGAGCGTGGTCAGAGGGTGTAGTGGGAAGTGTAGTTCGCGCCGAACGGACTCTTCCTGGGAGGTGTGGGTTCTCGCAGCATCAGAGCACTCGATTTCCCATGTTGCATACCTGCGCTGACGAACGCGTCGCTCTACTCGTTTTGCAATTCGTTTGGAGTACATAGAACATAAATAGACGGATTTCATAGGAGAAGGGGGCAGGTCAAAACCAAGCTTAGTGGCACTAAGCAAAAATGTAGATAAACTACTCTGGTCGTTTCAGAAGGAAACAGCCTGCCTCTGAGTTTTGCCTGGCCCGTGCTTTTGCATTGGGTGCTAATAAATAGTTTTTTTTATTCCTTTGATTTTTTTTCCCCAGCTTTCCCACACCCCAGTGTTTTGTGAATTCAACTAGTCATTCATCGCGCATTATCATGGGCGTACGTACAAACGGAGAGACTAGATGTAAAGTTTTACCTGCATTTCAAGCTTTGGAAAAGATACAGCATGAGGTTCAGCCGCTGGCTGCGTTGTTTGTAATGGCTTGTCTACAGTAGCGATGCAAGTCGTTACAGCTGCTTATCTCCTGCCTTAAGGACAATTTATACCTGTAGCTGATGGTTTATTTTACAGCTGTCTTGTGCTGTAAATGCCTCTTAGGCATTGTGGGAATTGATGTGATTTTATACCCAATCATGATACTGCTTGTGTACATTGTTAATATACCTTGAGATACGTACTTAATACTTAAATGATGTTAGTTCTAATACTCATTTGTTGTTTTATGCCACTTACTATAATTTGGATAATCGCATAGTGAGTCAACTATCATGTCCATTGCAAAATTTTCCCCACTCACAGTCACAGTTCTAAATACACTTAGGCTTTTAATTTGACCCACTTATCCATTGCAGGCTCAAAACCAAGTGTGATGTGGCAGGTCTAGATAGAAATCTGCAGAAAGCTACCACAGTTGTCTTTGGCACCTGATTAGAAGCTTTGATTTAATCTAGACCACAACCCATGTTTGTTGGTGAGTTCTTGAGAAAGATCTCAAATGAAATTCTTTCAAGTTGGGGAGGGGTAGAGCAGAGCATCTTGAGATGTAGGGAAGATGATGAATTGTTCTAGAAAGTTATCTTCTCCTGTGTGGAACAGAATGCGTGCTTAACCACTAACAAAGGACTCTGAATTACATCTGATCAGTGGTGTAAAAAGAGAAATTCTAGTCTTGTTGGCAACCATTATAGATCCACTAGGGGTTTGTAAAAAAACATCTTATCTGCCAGTGCCCTGTGTTTGTCGTTTGTTTTCAAATTGATAGGTTAGTGCTGCTTTCCAAAGACTTCTCATTCATTCTCATGGGGGCAAAAACCCTAGGTATTGCCCTCCACTTAAAGCTTTTTCTCCAGTTCAATGATCAATCTAAACACTTCTTGATACTTTTATGCTGCTCTTGAGTTAAAAAGTGGCAGTCTTTAATTTGTTGCTGATTGGCTGTCTTCATTTGTCTCAAATACAGCCCTCCAGCTATGGCGGGGAGTCTTTGTTCCTAGAATGGATTGAAGGGTTTTAAAGTGATGTGCACACTACCCAGAATCCTCTTCTGGTGTTGACCTATTCAGTCTGCTCTGAGAACAAAGCACAGAATTTAGTGAATACGATGATTTAGAATTGCAATCAACTGGAGACTTAAACCCACAGTATAACATTAGGGTCCCTCATTTCTTGATGTTTTTTCACTCCACTATCCTTATTTTTCATCTTAATGTTCTGTACTAGGTTAAGCATGAGCTCAGTTATCTTGTCACTGAGTCTCTAGACTTAAATACTTCCAAGGTTCATTTAGCTAATGGAGAGCTTAATTGTAAAGAAATCCAGACAGAGGGGTGGTAAAGCCCTATTTCTGGCATCTATATGCCACTTGGTGAGTGATACCCCCTGCTCACAGTGGTGCTCTGCTGAGTGTTTGGTTTGTTCCACCCATGCTGGAGGTGGTGAATGCACAGCTGTGCTGCCAGACTATCAAGTCCTGCAGCTGCGTCCGGATGCAGCTCTACTGGAACTGTCAGTATTAATAGCAGATGAGGCTCTTGGTAAAGAATTTGGAAAGGCTGGTGAAGGGGGGGGGCACTGAGCAGCTGACCTGAGTAAATGCAGGCTCTGTGCAAACCTCCCCTCCTGCAGCTACTCTTGGGAGCCTTCACACAGGACTGTGCCAGTGTTGTGCCTTTCAGTTGGGTCTGGGCTGTCTCAGATCTGAGTAGACCCGTTTTGAACTTGCCTGCTAGAAATTGTTCTGTGTGAAAGGTGATGTCAGAAGCGGCAAACCAGGATCTGATCTTTCTGCTCTTTACCCTTATCAGATTTGTCAGTACAAATAAGTGACCTGATTCTAGATGATTCTGTTAAAAGGACTGCTGTGTGGACTGTCTGTAACTTCCCCTTCCTCCCCATTTTGTTTGGAATGTGATTTAATGGAATGTTTTTTTAATAACGTTTTTAGGTGTTCTGTTTGTGCTTTGAGTGTGTTTGCCCCATAAACTTAGTGTGAAAATAAAACTTGGTTCCACAGGTTAAACTTACTTTTTTTTAAAATAAGTCATGGGGGCACCAAAGTATCCGTGTCATTTGAGTGAAAGAAACTAACATGTCATTGTCCTGGGGAACACCTCAACAGGTTAGGCCTTGAAAGAAGAGGCAAAGGACAAAGGAAATGCTAAAACATGTTTTGTTTGTTTTGCCCCAGTTATGATGGAAAAACTAATTGGAGGCTATATAAAAGCTTCAACTCTTCTAAGCTGCTTTTTCTTCAATGTTGTATGGATTTCCTGAAATAAGGTTACACATGGAGCTTTGACGAAAACCAGAAATGGAAAGGAACTGCCGTCTTGCTTGTTATTCAGTACAGCCTATTGGTTTCTCAGAATTTTGAAACGGTTAACTTTGATTACCAGAGAATGTTTTACATATTCTGGCCTTTTTTTCTTTCTCTCCTCAGTATGAAGTGAAACGGAATTGATTTTACCATCTGAAACTGCTGCTTCAAAGTTCAGATCACGCAGAAGAGAACCTTAAAACAAAAGTTAAAACGACGCTCCAAGACAAGAACAAGAAACACGCAACCAAAGAACCGAGACGGCCACGAGTGAGCTGAAAGACACAACACTTGATCTGAAACAAGAAGATTGTGCCTACTCAACAGCTTCTGAAGAGCACTTTCCAACGCTGCTGCTAGCCTTCTTCATCCTCTTTGTTGCACTGTGCTGATGTGTTCAGTGCAACAGGAGTAGTAACCTTTGCTAGTTCAAATAGATTCCTCTTGTCTCTCTCTGTCTGTCTGTCTCTTTCTGTGCTATTCTGTTTTGTTTAACGCAGTGTTACCTGCTTTTGGAACCCTTCACGTGCCACAATTGTGAAGTACTGGGCATATCGGAAACCAAGAACAGAGCAAGGTATGAGTTTTTCTTGCAGGCTGTTGTCACTAGTTTGTGGTTCTGTTCACAAAGCCAAGGATATTTGTTACCATTCCACCTCAACAGCAGGTCCCTCTTGTACTGCAGTGAAGTTGTTGGATGTGGTAACTGACCTTTCCTGTTTTTCCCCTCCCACCCTTTCTCCTCTCCTCGCAGTACAGTGGACAATTTTGGAGCCGAGAATAAACTTTACTCCCTGAGTCCACATTGAAATTTATGTGTTGCTTGTAAGGAAAATATACAGGAGTATGGGGTGGGGTTGAGTCTTTTTCATTGCTAAGACACCTTGTCTAAATATTTTACCATGTCAGAACAGATTACCGGTTGTTTTCAATGTGCTGAGGCAAAACCGCACTGCTTGCACAGTGGAGCCTTGAATTTTGCATACTTATTAAATCTATGCACAATAAGAGTAATCTCCTTCAGTAAGTGTGGTAGGTGACAGTCCTGTTGGTTTTCAGCATTGTCTGTTTTAAATAAGCAGTTCTCCAGTAACAGGTGCTTGTGTTGTCTTAAAATGTTAATTCTTCAGGTGAATGACTAGTTCACTAGTTTTAAAGATTTGGAATGATTGCCACTGTATAGCTTTTGTAGGAAAGAGGAAGATGTGCTCTTTGTTGATGTGAGGTAGCAGATTCCTCAGTTACTGTTGTGCCACAGGGATGGGAATTGCCATCCGGGGGCGGCAAGTCCTACATGATTCTTCATAGTCACCGAGATTCAAAGAGTGATTTGGCGTCTTGCCCAAATATGTCCGCTGTTGTGTTCCTTGTTAGAACTTGTAGTCTGAAAGCTGTATGGGAGGTTGATTCTGTGTGAGCTGTGTGGAGCTGAAGACGAGCGTTTTTGGCTAAGGACATGGTCTGTATATCAACGATCAGAACCAGGATCTTGGAACTGAAAGCTACTGAGCTAAAAAAATGAAGCTAAACTGAGATGTTGCACGTGATTGAAACATAGAGGATTCATTTCTTAATTTGACTCTTGTTTTAATAAGTTTAAACTTTACCTTGTTGCATTAACTGCACAGACTATAGTGACCACGGTGGGACCCTGTAATTGCTAGCCCTGGATTTGTTTTGGCTCTTGGGTTTCAGCCCTCATTGTGTTGCACTCTGCCACCCACGAGAAGGTGTCATAATAGATCAGTGATGGGATGAGAACTAGAGGGTTGTGCTGTTTTGGAACACTGAAGTTCCGACTCCTTTTGTAATGTCTTTGTTCATGTAGTCCAGGACATTTAATATGGATATAATTGCATAACTAAATACAATGGATGTAGGAATGATGTGGAACTGGGCACCATCTGCACTTCCCATCTTCAGTATGCCATTCTTTCAGTATGTTGCCCTGTGCTTTCTACAGAAAAGTCATACATTTAATCTGAAAATACACTGGGAAATTCTCTTCTTGGAGCAAAAGCACAGAACTAGTATGTGGTTTAACAAAATGCACATTAAACAGCATGCTCAATATTGATAGTTTTGCTTATATTCAGCCTGCAAATTATTTTAGTAGATGCAACATCAAATTTGTTTGCCCTTTCTATGCATATCTAGTGAGTCTCATGTTGCAGTACTGTTCTGGTGAACCAAAATTGGGAATTCTGTGCGGAATTCAGAATTTTTAGAATATTTTAAAGAATTCAGAATTCCATGTGCTCTTTCTCTTGTAACTATGAATGGGCTTGTGTAAGGCTTCCCTTAACTTATTAGTCTCATAGTATATGATTGTTTTGATCATTCAGATCAGGCTGTATTCCCCAGATCACCAGTAAATAGTATCTTTCATTCCTGCAGTAGTATGATTTCATTGAGTTTTGCATTTGTAGTTATGTTGGTGTCTTTGCAGGAGTGATTTGATGACTTGACTTGTTTTCTCTTGGCAACAGTTTGGATTTGTGCATTTTGAGTAGTCAAAAACACCAGCTGTTGCTTTTTAATCATATAGAAGACAGAAGAAATGTGGCACTTGTAGAAATCATTTTAATGTTTCCGAATAGTTTTGACGTTGAATGGTGTTAAGTAGTTTTCTTGTGCAAAGCTGCCATGCTGTATCCTGCCTGTGTTGTCACTCTGATTCCTGATCAGTGCTTATTGGCTGCAGGGTAGCAGCTAATAGTTTGTTTACTGGCTGTTGTTGCTCTCTGTCTTTTCTGTCCTCACATGCAGCTTTTTAAACAGTATAGATTGCAAAAGGGCGTAGGAATATGGCGAGCACCTGGAAGGGCTTTGTTGAGTTTACCTTGCCTGCCTCCCCCCCTGCTGCGTATGTTAATGCTGACCTGGGGAACACATCTCCTGTTGGACTCAGCTTGTCGCCGTACGGCCGATCTGTAAGTTCCATTCTCCTGCCCCAACCTTCCACCCTTTCTGGCGCTGTTTGGCCTAACCCCCCTCATTCTCGTTCTCTCTGGGCTCTGGGACTAGCCTCTCTTGCTGCAGGAGATGTAGGTGGAGCTGCCATTATGCATCCATAGACAATTAAGCTTGATGGATGAATAGGCAGTTTTTGAGTTGAAAGTTTTTTCCTGGCTTAATTTTGGCAAGTCTGTCCAAAACGTTTTCTTGGTATCTGTTTTTCACACCTTAATGTTTGTATTGCGGATCTTAAAACAGACCACCTGTTTATTTGAGGGCAGATGCCATTGGTATAAGCTTGAAGTATCTACACTGCTTTGTTTGTTCAGTGGTATTTGTAATTGCTGGCAGGCAAGCTTATCCATGCACTTTGAGGGTGGGGGAAACCCAATTGGAATTCCAGCCTTGTATCAGTTCTTAGCCTTCCTGCATGGCAGCAGTGATAATTACTGTTAGCGGCCTGCATCAGAGTTCTTCAGTTTGGCTTGTGTATTAGAAGCAGTGGATGCTGCTTTTACATTCATGCCTTTTTACAAGAAGCTTCACTTGTGGTAAGACTGGTTTTAAGACTAAAGTATTGTATTATTAGTAAATGTTTCGATTTTCACCGGTTAGCCTATCTGGTACTTTTTACCTGTCTTCATAAATTGTGTATCGCCAGTACATTTTCATTGTACAGCTTGGCATTCCTTTGAGTTAATGGGAATAAAAAGTTTAGAAAGACCTTTATATCCAATTGAGCTGCTATTACCATTTTTCCAACTTCAGTGGTCCATCAAACGGGCTCTAGCCAGATGTTAAAAGAAGGCAGTGTATTTGCATTGATCAGAAACTGCAGGTTTGAGGCTGGTCTTGTGCCCTACAAATGACCTCCCCATCTAACTCACCATTACACCCCAGTGTCATACTCTATAGCATAGAGAATCATGCATTACTTTTGTAGCTGTTTTCATTTGTATACTCCTTGAATTTTTATGACTGAGTGAGGATCAGCAGAATATGCCTTGGTTACAGAAGAAGAACCATTGTCGAGCATCTCATTTGTCACTTAATCATTTCAGCAACCACTTTGGCCCTGCATCTAAAAACCTGTATGTGTGTGTGTATGGACAAGGTGTTGTAAAGGGTTTTTATTTTTAAATCTGATTCAGTGCCACCCTGAAGATCTTACAAGTTTACTTTACCTAGGACTTTTCTGGCCTTCTCAGCTCCACTACTGTCCACATTATCCCCTTCTGTTAGTCTTGTTTTTTTCCCTTTTTGGCTTTGTTAAATGTTTTTTTTCTCCTGTTATCTCTTAGCGTAAAAATTCTGTCATTTTGAAAATAACTTTCCAAGAATACCTGCTAAACATTTGTTGGAAAAATGTTAGTTTAGCACAATGGCTCTCACACCACAAATTCTAAACAAAAGGAGATAACATTTAGCTTATTCGGTTTACCTGTTGAAATATCCCAGTCATTCCAGAGCAAGTCCTCATATCTTTCAGTTCGGCTGGCTCTTTGGATCTGTTAGAACACTTTTTAAGAAAGTGATAAATTGGTGATGCTACCCACTCTTGATAAAGCTTACTCTGCTAGCAATGTCAGAGTTAGCAGCACCAGCATAGTGCCATGTCCCATTACCACCCCCACTGCCCCTTCAATACTGAGCTGTAGTTTTCCCTTGACAGTGTGCTGCTGTGCTCCCCCAGCTGTACAAGATGGAGCGGGTGTATCCCGCCCCCCCTGAGCCCTCTCTTGCCCCTCCCCTGGCAGCCCTCCCCATTCCCCGCTCCTCCTCAGTCTCGTGCCCTAGCACCAGCGCTTCAGGGGGCAAAAAGCAGAAGAGGATCCCCCTTTATCAGAGATCTGTGAGTTGGGACCAGCCAGGGTCTGCACTCCACTAGTCACTGAGTCTAACTGCATGATTAGGTGCTGTTTGCAGTGTAGTTTGAGCTTGTGGTGCTTCAAGCTTGTGGTTACTTATTGTAAGTTGGTTCCTTTTCCACAGTCTCTTTCTTAATTCTTTCAAACTAAATTGCTTAAAGTGGGCTGCAACGCTGTTCTTATATTTCTTGGTTAGAAAGAACTGGTGTTGTTGAGTGTATTTCAAACTGCAATAAAAGTAAAATGCACTAATTTGTAAAACCTCCAGCTTACATTGCAAAATAGACTAAATTTCCAGTTATGTGCAGCACCATAGTCTGCGATTCGGAGTGAGGTAACCATCCAGGTGAAAAGGCCCCATTACATTGTAAATAAGCAGGATTCTCAATACATCTTTTAATCCAGTAGTAATTGCTTTTGACTTGGACATGTTTTGCCAATAAATACTGCTTACTTGTTAATTCTACAATTCTATGTACAGATCACAGTGAAAAGTCTGCACAACCTGTACTTATTTGCTCGTATGTCACATTACATTAGACATTATGGTGACTAGTGAGTAGGATGAGGTGTTTCACATCGCAATTCGTATGAACTCTAGCACAAGGTTATACCAGCAGTCTGGGATGACAATGGCAGTCATACAGTACATTCCCAAGGTTCACAATTTTGTGCTTGATTTGAAATTTGTAAGATTGTTCTGTACCATCAATGAATATATGACCTAGATTGAAGTAGCAGTCTGAGAAATTGGGACTGCAGTTCCCCTTTAAATCTAAACATCCGTCTTTGAACCATTTTCTTAAAGATACCAAAGACTTGAATATATAATTAAGTTGCCTTACCAAAAAAACAGCTAAACCTTTTTTATGGCTTCAGGTGCATTGCCAGCAGTTAATCCTGAATACATAAAACTGCCTTTAACTTGAGGTTAAGTTGGTAATTCTTATTTGTATCTGTGACATTCTCTTTAACACTGATCTGAGTTTTCTGCATGAATTTGGCCTTTACACTTGCACTGAATTCACATTTTCAGATTTCTGATAAGTATTCAATTTCAAATGTTAAATGCAGGATTGAGCTGGCTTTTGGATTCATATTGCAGGATAAAATGTGCAGCTATAAGAATTCTTTTAAAAAGGTTAAAAGTTTTAGATTTTTTTTTCAGAGAATGTCAGTTAGTAACTACATAAGTCTAGGTGCACTGAAGGAGCTCTTCTGTAGTCGTAATGTTCTTTTAGTTGGCCTTGTTTTGCCATAGGGTAATAGTAACCTTGTATTTCCTTGGTGGTAAAACAGAGCATCACTGATTTTTAAAAGATCTGGACATTTAAATGGTGAACAAGGACTGTAACATCTGAAGAAACTGAAAAGTACTCTTAGGTTTGAATTGTGCAATAAGTTTTCCCATCGTGCTATAATTTCAAATGAATGAGTGAAAGTCCTGGTTTTCTGAATTGTCGTTTTGATTTTTTTTAAAACTTTTAGTATTTGAAATATTCCTTGAATGTTTGGCATTGGAAGATTGTATTTAATCATGTTTGTACTAGAAATTGGCATGCTTAATCCATGCATGTATGGATGGTTTTGAAGTCTATGCATCCATTTTCCATGTTGCACTGACATTTTATGTGACATTACAAGAACTAAACCGATGCCAAATCCAGGACAAGGAGTTTGTTTGTTTGTTTGTTTGTTTGTTTGTTCCTATGCGCCTTTCCAAATTACAAAAGTTGCACCTTTGTTTGGCTTCCCCAGGTCTTCCTCATTGCCTTTTCTTATTTGTAGTTATTTGATCTGATTTGAAATGTAGTATTGTGTGTGAAGTAACCCACTCTCCCCAAAGTAGCATATTAAAAACTGGTCTCTGGTGCATTGCCGCGTCTGGCTTTTCCAGATGAGTTTCGACCCCAATCTGCTGCACAACAATGGCCATTCTGCCTACGCTAATGGCACAGCAGGCGGCCTGCGGGAAACTGGTGTCATCGAGAAGTTGCTGATCTCCTACGGGTTTATCCAGTGCTCCGAACGGCAAGCACGTCTCTTCTTCCACTGCTCCCAATACAATGGTAACCTTCAGGATCTGAAGGTTGGAGGTGAGTGGAGGGTGCCCTGTACTATGTTTTCTGTTTTTCTGATTCCCTGTGTTGCATTGAGGTTGGGATTCTTTTTCCCTTGTCTTATTTGGTATGGCTTCCAATTTCAAAAATTAAAGGCAGAGGTCTCTACCTGTGGTTTTAGGAGGAGTTTTTTTATATTGCAACTGTTTTTCTAATTCACGCTTGTAAGTAACTTTATTACCTATTTGACAGGATTGGTTGAGCTCAGTGCTACTGAAATGGACAATACATTTTGCAGCTCAGTAGCGATCTTGGTTTCCTTACATGTTTGCAGTGTCTGATCCAATTAAAGACTTTGGGGAAAAAGTCAGTTTGATTTCTGAAATACTTCATGCTTTAGCTCATTCCATTTTTTTAGCCTATTGAACCTCTCATGTGGTGCATTTTTGGGGGTTTGATTTTGATTCCATTTGGGAAGTAATGCATAAACTTAACCCATGGGACTAATCTAAATGGTCCTTTTTTCAGGTGGAAAAAGATGCTTTCATTAGGGTTCTGAAGATTTTATAATCACCATATTAAAACTAGGGAAATGCCAGAAAAACTACTTCAGACTAACACCTCAATGGGGAGGTGCCTCTTCCTTCTGTGTGTATATATAAAAGTACTGGATGTTAAATGGCATAAAAACCCCTTACTATGCATATGAAGTAAACTGTTAATGAGTACAGGGTGTCAGTTGTGCGCTTGTGGATGACCTGCCTGTGTGATAAATGAGAATTGAATCCAGAATAATTTGAGGGTGTTTTAATGAGTCTGTCTCCTGCAGATGATGTAGAGTTTGAAGTGTCGTCTGACAGGCGCACTGGCAAACCCATTGCAGTGAAGCTGGTGAAAATTAAACCAGAGATACTGCCTGAGGAGAGAATCACTGGGCAGGTGGGAGCGATTGACACAAACTCACTCAACACTCCCCTTACTATGCTGCATGGTTTTATAAATCCAGTTAAGGAATCTTTTTTTGGTTATGTTTACCTTCCATTTGTCCATTTTGTGTTTGGTCAAACTTACTTTAAATGTTAAACTATCTGGTCTGTAATATGTCTACACAGCGTTACCTAGAATGTGAAAAACAAGTGCTCTTAAGTCCATGAAGTGGAAAGCTTTTGTCCCAGTTTTCTTTGGTTACGAATCCCATGATCTTTGTGTAATAACCTTTAGGTGCTATGATATGTTGTCCATAGGTAATATGTAGTACAGTGTCCTAGAATTCTGGTCAGTCAGAGTTAACTCATTTTAAGTGCATTATTCTGATTTTAATTCACTGACCTTAAATACTCATTTGGTCCCTAATTCTCCTCCTTGAGAACAGTTCAGATTTGGGGGATTAGGTGTAATAAAATCACATTGAGAAATGTATTGCCAGTGTTTCATATTCAACCAGTTAAAGCAATTAGAGTAAGTTTGACTGTCTTGTCCTGTCTGTGTTGGGGTTTGAGGTCTTGTGGTGTCTGAACTGGGGTGGTGGTTGCTGGGAGGGGGGGGTGGTTAAAGCCAGTGCCATTTAAAAGGTGCTTTGCTCCTTTTTGCATTTTTTCTAGGGGCTTTTCTTTAACTATCAGCACCAATTTGTGAAATCATGTCTAAAGCTGTACTTTTAAGCCCAAACAAATGTTCAGATGAGTCTTATAAAGAAGACTCTGAAAAAGCGAGACCTAGCGGTTTACCCTTCTCTGTGTGAATTTGGGAACGTTTGTCTAGAACTTGCTTATTGCTGATCTCCATAAGAATGTTTGTACTTTTGTCAGGCCAATGTAGATAAAAAAACGTTTGTGTCCTCAATAAGGCTTAGTCGTTCCATTTTAAAGCTGATTTAAGAGTTAATTAGATTTACAAGCATGATGGCTGTAATCATGTTTAAGCTGCCACCTACACAGTTAGAAAAGAAACCTGATGCTGTGCTTAATTTGAAGATAAATGTTGGTGAATTTTTGCCGTAAAACCAATTAAAAGTGCATACATTGGGTACGTTACATCTAAAGGTGCAGATTGGAGCTGTCATGTTAGCCACCTCTTACTGGACTCCCCAAGCACTGGATGGGTGAGCACTGTCATTAATGGGCTGTTTTTGATAGGCCAGAGTTACATCGGCTATCATTTGTAGCAGAAGTGATGTCCGTGAGAGAGCACTTTATACACTAGTGGTTGCAGGATTTCCTTTAAGACACTTTTGGCACCTAATAGGTCAGTATGGAGGAGAAATGCATGCACAAGTTCACAATCTCTCAACATTAAGGGGTTGTAGTAGCAAGCAGAATTGATTAACTATGGACAGCTCTAGATTAGGAGTAGAAAATAGAAGACCACAATGTCACAGAGTAGGATGCTTAGCACTTAAACATTTTTGGAATATGTCCATGCATACCAGAAACTTAACTTGTAGTTTAAATCTGTTGATGGAAAGAACTTGTTTTGAAATTAAAAGAAAACTGCCCTAAAGAAACATTAAAAAACAAATTTTGGAAAATGTAAACTTAGACCCTTGTTTCCTTGTCTTTTAAGTGGGGAAAATACTCCAGAATGTTTTTGTCAGAGTTGACCATACCAAAACATTTTAACTAAACTTTTGGTGTGGTCAAAAATTAAAATCAGTTGGTGTTGAAACATTTGTTTACATTTTCTGAAGTGTAGCTAAATGTGATCAATATTCCTGCAGGTTGTTTGTGCAATTCCAAATCACCTTGATGGCAAGTCAGCCCCAGGACAGGTTCCCACTGGCAGTGTATGCTATGAGCGCAATGGGGTAAGTCATCACTGTTGCCTCCTGTATCCAGAAAACAAGCCTGAACAATTAAATCTTTTGTGTTGACAAAACTTGCCGTGACCTCTAGGTCCCATAAATAGAAACCAGTTCTTATCTTCCTTGGACATATAAATACAAATAAAATTTTTTAGCCATTGTCTCCTCAATACAGGCTTGTGTTTTGCGCTGTTTTTCAACTAAATCTGTGCTGGATATGCAACTGAATGTTTAATTCCTTCTCAGACGCGTTTCTAAAACCCATGTATATACTAGTATTAAGTATCGGTAGTTCCAGAATGAGTGAAAAGTGGTCTCGTTTTGAACCCGAATCAGGTGTGAAGAAAAACAGAAAATTAAACCTCCAAAATCTGCTTACAGAACCTTTTGATTAGTTGTCATAGTGATTCTGTTTTGAAACAGACTTTCAGAAGCACTTCAGATGTTTGATTTATATTAAATCGGCAAAGTACCTTTCCTTGTCTCTCTCTTTAGGAGGTATTTTATCTGACCTACACTCCTGAAGATGTGGAGGGCAACACGCTCCTTGACACTGGGGACAAGGTCAGCTTCTTCATGGAAACGAACAAACAGTGAGTGCTTCTGTGTTATAGCTTTTTTGCATCAGAATTTTTCTTAATACTATTAAAACAGCTCAAATGAAATAAGTTTTAGTTTTCTCTACTTTTAGCAGAGTAGGCCATTTCAGGCTTGCTTGGCAGTTAAAAGCAAATTCATCCGGGGACTAAATCTTGAAAAACCTAGATGAATCTGCTTTTGTAATGTGGAAGGGCAGCTTGTTCTAAGTGCCTACCTGGTACATCTACAGCAATTGCGGAACGGGGTGGGGGGGGGATGTGCTGTGGTTGAGGCATGCTTTACTGACCTGGTATGTGATTAAATCCTCAGCACTGGTGCGGTCAGCGCTCATAATATTGTACTGGTGAAGAAGAAACAGATGCGCTGCCAGGGTGTTGTCTGTGCAACCAAGGTAAAGTGATAGATTCTATAAACATGAATGATGTATAACTGAAGTTTCACAAACCTGACACTTGATTAAACTTTTCTGGACTGGGTGTTTGTAATGCACACCCATGCATGACTTCTTAAGAAGCCTAATGTTTTTTTTTTGGTTAGCAGGATGTTTAATTGCCAGGGTCTTGTTGCTCTGGATTAGGTTTTTTGCGGTCTAAAACTTCTATGTTGTGCATTTGAATTAATAAATAGAAAAGGCAGATGCAAGCAAGAGGTCTGGGAAGAAGTCCCAGTGGAATGTTCTAGGAAAATGCAGAATGCTTTGATGCATGCTGGGTGGTGCTGTATTAGTATCCAGTAAAAAGGACTGAAAGCTAGTAACGCATGCATGTTTTTATGGTATATGGTTTACACAATGCTCCATTTCTTGCATGGATGTCTTGTGATTGTGACCTTCTATCCCCTCTTTAGGAGGCATTTGGGTTTATTGAAAGAGGAGATGTAGTGAAAGAGATCTTCTTTCACTATAGTGAATTTAAAGGAGACCTGGAAGCCCTGCAGGCAGGAGATGATGTGGAATTCACCATCAAAGAGCGAAATGTGAGTGTCCCTGCTCAGCTGTTTGGGCTGATATCTGCTACAAGATATTTTAAGGTGTTTTCAATGTTAAATTATAATTTGTGTGTGGAGAGTTGCTGCCACTTCAGAGCAGTTTTCATTTTTTTGAAAGCTGACGAATCCAGGCTTTTTCAGTTTATTATTTGAGGACATAATCCTGTGTATTGTAGCACTTAAGTATTCTTATGCAAAATTTAAGGTTGAAAAGTCAGTATGATGCTATTCATTAAGGTGTTTTAATGCCCTCTAGGGAAAAGAGGTAGCCACAGATGTGAGACTGCTGCCCCAAGGAACAGTTATTTTTGAAGACATCAGCATTGAGCGCTTTGAAGGAACTGTCACTAAAGTAATCCCTAAAGTTCCCACTAAGAACCAGGTAAGCTTCTTGGTTTTAGCCCAATTTGTATAATGTATAATTCTTTTAAATAAGACTAGTCAAGTGTTACTGTTTCAGTATACACTGCAGAAATTCTCCAAGAACAAAAAGGGTTACAATTAAAATGCAATATTGAGGAATTTTTTACAGTAACATTATTGGCTTGTAAATCTTTTGATAAAGATTTAAGACTTTCTAAAAAATGTATAAACTAATCAACAGTTTGTGACAGGATCTTTACACTGTGAACAGTGGTTCTTCCCATTTTGAATACATGACGGGGGGGGGGGCAGACCATTGAATCACTTTTAGTTAACACAGCAAAATTGTATTGCAACAAATCTTAGAGGCTTAAACTGATAATGCACAGAAACAAAGGCTAATTTGAGTCCAGTCTTTCAGAGTAGTCAGTAAGGGTTCCTGATCTGTGCTTTTTTTTCCTGTCATCCTAGAATGATCCCTTACCTGGCCGCATCCGTGCCAGGATTCATTTCGCTGACAAGGAACTCTTATTTGGTGACAAAGACACCAAGTCCAAGGTTACGCTGCTAGAGGGAGATCATGTGGAGTTTAATATCTCCACTGACCGGCGTGACAAGCTGGAGCGTGCCACCAACATCGAGATTCTGCCTGACACTTTCCAATACACCAAGGAGACCAGGGAGATGGTGAGATAAATTTCAACATGCCAGTGGTTACAGCACAGCCTTTATTTACACAAAACATTTGTGGCAGTCTAGGTCAGGCATCAGGATCTTTTAACCTCAATGCTTGGATTCCTATGGCCAAGACATCAATGAGCTTGAGTCATGGCATTGCTCAACAGTGACAAAGATTCCCCAAGATGTAAGGCCAAATGAAATTGATGAGAAAGGTGGGCATTAATCAGCCATGACCTACTTGTATTTTGCTTAAGCTGTGCCTTGCTGGGCACCTGCATTCTTGAAACTGATTAGACCTACTGCAAAAACATAGCCTCAGTCAACTCGGTTTTCTGTGTTTGTGCAATATGATGTCCTTCTGGCCATGCCAATTAAAGTATCATGGAGCTTTCAGTGCATCAAAGATTAATGACAAGTAGGCATTTAAATGCCTTGGTAGACGCATCAATACAGGAGTTTCAACCATAATTTAAAACCTTAAGTTGCATTTCCAGTACTGATACAATATAACTGATCTTGTGTTACCTGCATTCTTACACCTGAAGCAATAGGAATGCATTTTTTTAGTTAATTGGTATTTTTAAAAATTGCAGTGGGAGCCTATAATTTATAACTTGCTACAAATTCCCTTTCCGCTGATTCCCCTAAATAAGTATAATTATTCCCTTTAAAATCCATTAGGAATATGCTGCATCCCAGTTATGTATTTCCTCTTAACTTTACTCATTCAGGTGGGTATATGTTCATTTGACAAATCTTCCTTTTGCAGTAAGTTTTTCTTTCAAATGTTTTAATTTGCTAGCTACAATTCAGTTAGGTTACACAATGTAAGTGCAATAAACACTTGGCTTTGTGAATGAAAAAGGCATTGCACATCAAGGTTTATATAGTAGTAGAACATCCCAGATGATATTAAATAGTCCTTTATGTGGGAAATGTGGCACAGTTAGGAGTTATTGACCATCACATTTTCTATGCCACAGGGAGTAATTGCAGCTATGAGAGATGGCTTTGGGTTCATTAAGTGTGTGGACCGTGATGCCAGGATGTTCTTCCACTTCAGTGAGATTTTGGAGGAGAGTCAGCTGCACATCTCTGATGAAGTGGAGTTCACTGTGGTTCCTGTAAGTGTACCCCACTGCAGCTGACTGGAAATGACAGCCACACTATGGCAGAACAGTGGAATTCCATATAAACACTTTATAGATGTATTGGTTTAAGTAAAAATTTGGATCTAGTCAAGGTTACATTGTTTTTCCTAACCTCAAGTTAACTTTAAGATGAAACCATTCACTTCAGGTTAGTGGATATGAATAGAATTACAAAGCTTTCAATTACTGTGCTGTAAAGGTTCCAATTTCATCTGGCCCTAAGGAAGATTTTTCTTCAGACTGTTCAATAAATGTGCAAGCAGCTTATGCCAATATAAATCCCTGAACAAAAATGCATAAATGTTATGCAACTGTGGAATCTTGATATCAGATGTGGTAAAGGAAGGTAATTGAACACTCATTTCCACACACTTAGCCACACATTACCTGCAGCTGAGTACATTAAGTTGAGGATTCATGTTTTTCTGACAACCAGAAATATGCTGGTAAGGAACAATGGATTTCAAAAGCACCATATGTCAGTTTCCCAGTCTTGCTGTGAAAAAGGAAGAAGTGGCCTTGAAGTTGTTCAGAGATGTGAAAGTTTGGACAAACTGTACCAGGTGTCTTACATGGAAACTGATCAGACCTGCTACAAAGCACTTTGACCCACTTGAGGTTTTAGGCTTTTAATTAAGCATTGAAGTGTTTTTTTCTTTTTCTATACAAGAACCTGCAACTCCTAAAGCCTAAAATGAAACCCTCCACTGTAGAAAAACTATCCAGCTTCCTTAGTTTGTTAGGTTTTGTCCCAGCCCCAAGCTCTCCTTAAATTGCTAATGTTGTTCTTAATTGTTTGGGATTGTAAATACCATTTTCCTGTGGAACACATCAGACTCAAGTTTGGCTATCCCTGTGCAGGATATGCTGTCAGCCCAAAGGAACCACGCAGTCCGGATCAAAAAGCTCCCCAAAGGCACAGTATGCTTCCACACCCAGTCAGAACATCGCTTTATAGGCACAGTGGAGAAAGAGGCTCCCTCCAAAACCACCAGCCCAGCCAAAGGCAAGGAGAAGGTAAGCCTAGTACACTTTTCATTTGATCTCTGACCCCGAAGACCTGAAGAATAACAGGTCTTTGAAAGTCTTCTCCAGCCTTGGAAAAGTTTCATGCTAGTCAGTCATGCAGGAAGCCAGTTTGTACCTTACCAAGTTAGATAATTGATAAAAATCTCAGATATGTACCTTTTCATCAGAAATTGAATATATTGCAACAGGTGAACCAAATAAGGTATAAGTCTTATTCATTTGCCATTGTACCTGCTCTCCTATGTAATGCCTTGTGCACATTCTTCTGCATCATGAAGTAGAAATATACCTTCCAAATAAACTTGGCAGTTTCTTAAATTCAGTTCCCATAAGCAAACGGAAATCTAACTTAAGAGGGCTTTTAGTTTTTAGCTGCTGTTACAGTGCTACCAAAGTTCCCCATTCCCTGGGGAACTTGGCTAGTTCAAAAAGTAGTTTGTCAAGAGCAGGAAGTCATAGGGTGGAAAATGGAACTTCAACCGAAGTAAGATTGTTTGGTTATCAATGCTCTCTAATTTTCTTCCCTTTTGTCTAAAGTTCTATTCCACAACAAATTAAACATTTGACATTTTTAACTTCCTTGCTTGTTTCTAGTCTTCAGAACACTTGAGCCCATCTCTTCAGACCTCTTAATCTTACTACTTTGCTTTCTCCTTTCCTCCCACTTTTTCTTTCTTTATTAGAAAAAAGAGAAGGTAGGATGCTGCCTTTCCCCCACCCCCCTATCTTGTTAACCTTAATTACAGTGAAATTCAGTTTTTCTGAAACAACTATATTGTATCCAGTTGCCTTTCACTTTGTTTTGCAAAATCTGTTCGTTTTGAATTTTTTTCACACTAGAGTATAAAACTCTATAAAAAAGTATTGGAAAGTGAGTCCTAATTAGGAAATGTACCCTTCATTGTTGGGGAACAAAGCACTGTTCAGTCAAGCTCCGTACACTCCAGAGTTCTGTCTCAGCGGTTCTCAGCGGTTTCTTTGGAAATTTCGATTTCCAAAGAAATTTCAAAGTAATGAAAAGCCAATACTACATGCTAGAGAAATGTTATTTAGAAAATATCTTCAGATTAGTTGATTAACAGATTAACATCTCTAACTTTGGATCTTCCTGTTCTGCTCTTTGAATGTATCTAACTTGTATCTCAAGTAGAGAAGATGGGCATCTGATGTGAATGGCTGTGCATGAGAAATACTTTGTGGATTGCACAGAGCGCTTATAGCACATAGCCTCATTATGAATGCCACAGCTGTTCTGAGAATGGGGCATTTACACTTCAGCACAGTCCTAACATCTTGCTGTTTTTTTCTGTGTAGTTACGGAGGGTAAATAACATGACTTGGCTGTTTTAATTACAGGCTGATTTAGTGCTTCCCTTCTGCTTATTACAGCATACGGTGTTGGAGTTGTTTCTGTGGACTTGACGTTCCTTAATGCTACTGCATATGATACTCTAGCTTTTAAGATGTCTGCTGCACTCCCTGTAGCTCATGGCTTTTCTGATCTTTATGTAATGTCTCCATGTGTGCATCAGGATTCAGAGGAGGGTGTGATAGGATATGAAGACTGTGGCATGAAGATGACTGTCTCTTATCATACCAAGGATTTGGAAGGGTCCGCGTATCCACAGGTTGGAGATAAGGTGAGAGCTGTGAGCATGTGAGGGGTGGAAAGAGATTAGTACGAACAGTACTGTAGGGTTATTTTTTCATTGACTTAACAGCTCTGGTTAGTGCACTCAACTAAATTAATTTGTAAGGGACACTTAGAGCATCCCTTGCTCTGAATTAGACTAAAGATGAGGATTATCTGAATGTGCTCTAGTTCTTATGCCATTAATATTTCTCATGTTTTTTTTTGTGATGTGGAAACGTTTTGAAACTCTGTATCTCTTCCAAACCATCTGGTACAGAAAGGGAAGAATGGCCAGTTCTAAGCTGAAATTCCACTGGCATTTGGCTAGCATATCCATCCCTTGCTCCAAGCTCTTTCCAAGTTGAGTCTGATTTTACAGGTGGAGTTCAGTATTTGTGAAGTAAAAAGGACGGGTCAGCAGAGTGCAGTGTCTATCAAACTCCTCAACCGCACTGCTGGCACCAGGAGGCTCCTGGGATATGTTGCCACGCTGAAGGACAACTTTGGGTTCATAGAAACGGCGAATCATGACCAGGAGATCTTTTTTCACTACAGGTTAATTGCTTTGTAGCTTTAAACATTTTATCAGTTAACTCTGGGCAGTCAGGGCTTCATGCCACTCTACAATAACCTGTATGCTGTTTTTTGCAGCGAGATGTGTGGGGATCTTGAAAATCTTGAGCTGGGTGACACTGTGGAATACACCCTATCTAAGGGCAAGGGCAATAAGGTCAGCGCTGAGAAAGTCACCAAGGTCACTGCAGGTAAGGGTCAGTTCAAACGGTTTTATCAGTGGTCATTTCAGTTTTTCTCCAGATTGCTTTGTCTTCTAATCCCATGTTCTGTACCTCATACAGGGTAATTTTAGAATTAAACTAAATTCCAGTTTTGTGATGTGTACTTTTGTAAATGGAGATGCTGTATCTTGTCCTGCAGCAAATGTGGGATCAGTTTGCAACGCTACCTCTGGTCCTGCTGGGGCCAGATATTGAATTTTATGGACGCGTTCCCTTGTACATTGATATGGATGTTAAGTAGCAGTAAAACCGTTAATGATCACCATTATGGAATCTCTGCCTCTATAATGTTTCAGTAACACAGTGTGTCCTGGTGCATTTGCAGTTAATGGTGTTGGGGAAGATGTCAGTGCAACTGTGTGCCTGGGGAAGGTTGTGAGACCACTGCGCAGTGTGGACCCCTCCCAGACTGAGTATCAGGGGCTCATCGAGGTCACAGAGGAAGGTGAGTCATTGCATGAAATGCTACTGGCACATTTCCACAAGACTCCATAATTCTTGCAAGAAAATGGTTCTATATGTTGTGATGCAGAACATAAATATGTAGTTATGTATGACCTGATGGGAATATTAGAGACTGCCCCTGTTGGAGTCCACATCCCATAGTGATTACAGTGGTCAGTTTGAGACGGTATGGAATCTAGTGCTTACAAAGCACAATGGATATTTTCCATTTTTTCAGCTTTTCTCTCAAGCCATGTCATATGTCCCTTTTTTGGTTAAGAGCCGAGTTGTGCCTCCTGTGGAGGTTTTTCCTCAACCAGTGCCTGTTATCTCTTGAGACTGCCTGAATTGACCTATGTTGTTATATCTTCAGAAACAAGAAAGCCGACAATTATGCCTCCTAATTTTTACTTATCAACCTTCCTTCCCATAGCACACTGAGGAAAAAAGGTCTGGTGTATTGATACTTCACCATTCATGGGAATTGCACGACATTTTGACTTTTGACTGCAAACTGTGATTTTAAAATTTTAAACTAGTATTTTTGGGGGGCAGCTTTTGTAACATGCTATGGGGAAAAGGGTTTTCTACCAATGTTAATAGGATCTATTAAATGATGGTTTTAAGGCAGACCACCACTGACTGGTGTTTTATTTCTAGCCCATGCTTGCAGTGACCTTCAATCAGCAAGCACTTTGGGATCATCTGAAATGCAGGAGAATAGATGCCTAACTAGGGGGTGATGAGTAGTATGGGTGTTGGCACTCAAAGCACCTGGTGGTTTGTCTACAGGTAGCCTGAAGGGGCAGAGCTTCCCCTTTGGCATTGTGGGAATGGCCAGCAAGGCAGACTGCCTGCAGAAGGGGGAGTCGGTGAAGTTCCAACTGTGCACTGTGGCTCAGACTGGGCAGAAGATGGCCTGTAATATTGTCCCATTGCGCAGAGCCCCTGTAGAGTGTGTAAAGGACCAGGTAAGGAAATCCTTTTGTTTTCTAATGCAGTGTCTACCCTGTCCTGTGTTTGGATACCAAGGTCCCCACCAAGAGCAGCTCATCATTGACTCATGCGTATTACTTATAAGAATGGAATGACCAGCTGTTGGTTGGGTCCACTATCCAGCCAATGAGCATGTGGCCTGGGATAGTCCCTAAGTTAGGAAATCATTGAAGAGAGGTTTCTCCACTTGTCAAAGAACATGCAATATTGTTTGGTGGATTGTAGATATGGTTTGAGTTCATGACTGTCATTTCCTGTTACAAAGCTCAACATGTAAAGCAGGTCCATGCAGTGAAACTGAATTCTCTGCAATATTCAGAACGGTTGAAATGTTGAATTCCAGGTGCTGTCAAATCGGTGGTACATTTTTTTTCCCCAAGGGATTGAAGATTTATCTAGAGCAGTTTTTCATGGCCAACCATAAAGAACATGATTGTGGTACACAGGACAAAGAAAATTGCATCAGGACCTTTGAGTAAACTGGAAGATTTAACTTGGCCCCTATCTCCCCCTGTGTGTCTGGTGCAGTTTGGCTTCATCTCCTATGAAGTGGGTGATGGGAAGAAGCTGTTCTTCCATGTGAAAGAGGTGCAGGATGGAGTGGAGCTGCAGGCTGGAGATGAGGTGGAGTTTTCTGTGATTCTGAACCAACGCACAGGAAAGTGTAGTGCTTGCAACGTGCGCAGAGTCAGGTACAGAACACCTTATTAAAAACGAAATTAAATTGATCAAAATACAACAACTGCAAAAGAGGGTAAAAAAGCTTTAGGAAAGCTTCCATTTGTAATTTCTGCTTCATAATGTTGTTCCTGATTTATCCATTTTGGTGTCTGTCTAAAAGTTCCAACCTCATCAATTGAGCAGCAGAATTCAGTCTGAATGTGTATTGAAGCAGTGAATATATTTACTTCATAGCTGTTGATCTAAAAACCAGGATGTTTTAAGCAAATAACAGATTTAATTTTGAACCTACCTGAAGTACCTTGAAAAAATTAGGTGCTCCCTCCCCAGGCTTTGTCTTTGTCTAACGAAGTTTTAATCAATTTCACTTCCCTTTAGTGAGGGTCCGAAGCCTGTGGCCACACCTCGGCCTGACCGCCTGGTGAGCCGCTTGAAGAGCATTACCCTGGATGATGCCAGTGCCCCTCGTCTGGTCATTCTTCGCCAACCCCGGGGACCTGATAACTCCAAGGTACTTATTCTCTGCAGTGTGGGGCCTTTCTGATCATAGATCATTAGAGTAGAGCAATCTCCCTTCTGAAGAGCAAAGAAAGTGGTAATGACAAGACAATAGTCCAGTACTGAATGTTACTACAAGGTAATAATTTTCTCATTGCTCATACTGAGAGCTTGACAGCTTGCAATGGAAATATAACGTCTAGCAATTAGTTGTTTAACGTTTTTTTGTCTTTAAAAACATGTAAATGATTGCGAAGTGCCATGTCATACTATAATTTTTAAGATTGAGAAGAAACCTACCACTGTTGGTCTATACCTCTTTATAAAATGATTTCAGGTATTGATTAAATGGTGACTTGATCAGTTAAGACTGACTGCGATAGTGGATTCTTTTTGATCCTCATCACTTCTGCCCCACCCAAATTTCTTTATCACCTTTCAGGTTTTTCTCACCTGTGCCACACCTAATAAGAAATAGCAGTCTTCATTGTCAACCCTGGTGGAAAAAGTAAAATTTAGAAAAGGAATCGTTGCTTTTCTTGTCAAGAGCGCATTTAAGGTCTGGGATGTTCATTGGTAGCGATTTCTATCCTAGACATTACAACCAGTCAGTGTGCAACAGGCGTATCTGGGAGTGAATCTTAACAATACATTGGTTTAAAAAGGAATGTTAACATTCTTGCAGAGTTCAGTGAACAGGCACGGGTTTGTATAATCTGTGACGAATAGGACAGAAGCCCACAGGATCACATCTACAGCCTTGGGCAAAGCGTGTCTAACAGATGAACAGCTCCTGTTCGTGTTCCAGTGATACTTTTTCTCAATATACAAATATGGTGGTTAAACCTGTTTCTTGAAGTGATCGTACAGAGTTCTGGGGTAAATGTCATGTCAAGGGGGGTGAAAGATGTAAAATTGTGGAGTAAATACCAATTTAGGGTCTTCTGACTTGCCTACAGGGTTTTAATGTGGAGAGGAAGATACGCCAAGCAGGTGTCATCGACTGACTGCTTCAAAGCATGAGCGTCCAGCAGCATCGGAGTGGAGGAGTGCAAGTGCAGCAGCGGGGGGTGTGGGAGGTGCCAGAGAGCGAACCGATGTGCCCACCCTCACCTTTCTCCCCCCTTGCCCCTCCAAACCCGTCCTCTTCATGGCTCTGCACCGCCTCCTCGTCTGTGCTCTGAGATCGGCACCGCTAAGCACAGCACCAGACTGGACTCTCTCCGGTCTTTGCGAGGCTTTCTTTTACAGGTGGGGGGGGAATGGGTGGATTTAAAAACGGGAATTACTGTAAGACTTCTTAGCCTCTATTTAACATAAAACTGGAAAGATGATGGAGAAGGCCCTGCTGGAATTCTGCACCTATGGTGTGCGTTTGCGTGTGTGGTTCCTTTTTAAACATGTATTGACCTGCCAGATTTGTGTGGTAACCCCCTTCCCCCTCCCCCATACTGCAGAGAATTTTTTCATGCTTCATATTTACTTTTGCTGCTCTGGATGCTTTTCTTAAAGCTACTGTATTTTTTTTTTTCAAGCACTGTGGGGGGAGGGAGCTGCTGTGTGTGAAAACCTGTTACAATGCAGAGCTTCCTTTGGGATACTCGATAAATGTTTGGGCTGTTAAAATACTTGTCATTCTAAAAAATGGAGCAGACTAGCTCTCTATTAAGCCCACCTCACATTTAACTTAATTTGATGCAAATTCAAACCTGAAAAAATAAATTGCTGTTAATGAAGTCCTGTTAAAAAGCTTTGCTTCAGAATTTTAAACTAAGTCTGTACTTTTAAGGGTGTGGAAGCAAGTAAAAAAATATGAACCGACGTGTGGTCCATTTCCCTTAAATTGCTTCATGGTGCAGAGTTCCAGGTGGTACCATGATGCCATTGTTAATTTGCTTTTTATAATTTTTTTTATTTTTTGCACATACCTTTCAGCTTTTTTTCTCAATCCCTGATTTCCAATTTCAAATAATACACAAAAATACAAAAAAAAACTAAAATTGTGCCTAAAAATTCATTAAAAAAAATTCTTTATCCCAGATGGCACCCAAAATGATGCCTCCTTAATGATGGCTTTTTTGGTAGAAATAATGCAGATTCGCATCACAATTACTATGGGTTGACATTCATGTATGTGAACGTGCTTTTTTTTTCCTAGAGGAATATTCTGACATCATGAAAATTGGTATCTTTGCAGAAGTAAAATGAGCAAAAATAAAAATCAGAAGAATCAGGATTTCAATTTCTGTGGTTTAGATGCTGTTAGGATTTCTGCTGCGCCTCCACTCAAGTGTGGAGTTGTAACTTATCTAGGAGACCGCTTGGTTCTTACAGAACAACATGAAGAAGCTCTCCTCTGTACTTTTGTTAATGGTCTTGAATGAAACGATAGAATAAAAGTTTTACGAAAATTTTACAACTGTCCTTTCTGGTTCCTTTGGCGGTTTGGGTTACATTTCTATACACCTCTTGAATAGGTCCGTTGCCAGTAAACTTTAAATTGTTAGAGTAACTTGAAATACTGAAACTTAACATCCACCCCATCTTCTTGGAAGTGATGTCCTGTGTGACCTGCATCTGTTATGCTTTAATGATTAAGAAATA